ATTGATAAATCACTTATTTATATAATAAGTAATAACATTAATCTATTTACATAATAAGTAATAAACAAATATATGAAATTTGAAATAAATATTTAAAATTAATATAACAAAGATTTCTTTTTAGAAATACCAATTTCTAATTTACCAGTCTAGGGCGATGGGGACTGTCAATTCACTAAAAACAGATTCTGAAGAGATCGCACACTTTTATAAACAGAATGGACAAAAAAAATAACAATATGGCAGAATGTTTATTAATTAATTAATTATTATTATTAAAAAATTAAACATAAAAACGAATTTCGATTTTATTTATAAAAATAAATGGATTTTTTAGATATAACTTTTTTTAAAAATTTCATATTTTATTTTTGTTAAAAAAGCCATTTTTTATCGGACGGAAAATTTTATAATATTTGCCGATAACCGATATTTTAAAATGAGTGAAATATCGGCACGATCCGATAAAAAATATCGGTACATCTCTAATTTAAAGCATAACATAACTTTATTAAAATTAAAAAAACATATAAGACGTGGGGAGAAGACAATGATATTAAAAAAAGGAAGTCATTAAGATCCGAGGAAACTAAGATAATTGCCTTCTAACACAACAATTTGGATGTTGATTATAAAATTTTAAAAGTGGATCCGTGATTCTCATTGGTTTGAGAATTTTTTTTAAACCCAAAATCTTATAAAATGATAGCCTTGGAGACTTATGAACTCATTGATAGAAATATTTGGGATAAAATGAAAATATATTTTTATTAAAGTTTTCATATTTTGTCATTTTCCTTTTTTTTCACTTGTAAGCACGAGTTCGGTTTCCGGTGAAGATTTATAGGCAATAATTGCTTAACAGAGGAAAGATAAACGCAACAAAAATTGGCATTCTTTGACTTTTAAATAAAGATTTGAATTTTTAATTAGTGAATTCTTAATTACTGCTGTAAAATTATGGAAATAAATAAGGCAGAATTATAATATTTAAAAATAATCCATGAACTTTTCAATTGTTGTGACAAAAATTTTTGCTTTCGTGAGTGGGCGGGTCAGGCTCGGGATAAAGAAAATTTAACATATCGCTTGCATATAACCTAGTGGGGTATAATAATATCAAAATCGAAGTGTTGGGTAAATGTGAAAGTCGAAGTAAAAAAAACATTTTAAAATTTTTACCTAATTGGGTAGTTAAAGGAGAGAATTCCCTTATTTTTGGAATGCGTTTTCTTAGAGAATTCGATATAAAGCTTCCAGAAGAAGTTTAGATAAATAATATAATTATGACTCCCATTAAATACTATCGCATCAAAATTTCCTCAAGTTTTAAAAAAAAAATTAGGAGAATGGTTATCCGCCTACAACCGAACGCATTACAGATAGTTTACCAGCAAGAAGAGTTCCATTTCTGCTTTGTCAAACCATCGTAGCTGAGTTGGACAGACTATTAGATGAAGGCGTTATCAAAAAGGTGGATCCAACAACAACTCCAATCACTTGGGCTACACATTAATATCTTAAATAAATCTGGTGCCGTGCAGATACGCGGAGATTTTCGTTTAACAATCAACAAATATTTAGAGATAGATAACGATTTACTACCAAATTTTGTCGACCCAACAAATACAATCGTTGGTGTAAAATATTTTCGACGATAGATTTAAAACATTTTTACAATTCGGAGTTGGTCCAGAATGTAGGGACCTTTTAGCAATTTCGACTCATGTCGGTTTACCGATACCTACTAATCCCTTCTGAGTTGTCTAGCGCTCCGATAATATTTCAACACATGCAAAGCCTATTAAAGGGAATTCCTATGGTTAGTTTATTTTTAGACGGCGTAATAATTACGGGCGAGAATAATTCTAATCATGTAGTTAATTTGGAAGAATATTAAGAAGATTTGATAAGGCTGAATTGACAACAACGACTGATAAAATTAAAATTGGAGAAAAGTCAATTACTTATTTGTGTCATGTTCTTGACGAACGGAATTCACCCTATAGAAGATAAGATCATTGCCATAAAATTGTAAAATACCGTCATATGTAAAAGAATTACGTTCGTTTCTTGGGATGTCGTATATAAAAAAATTACACTTTATTTGTGGGCCTTTAAACCGACTAAAGAGTAAAAATGTTAGTTGGTTTTGGTCAGCTCAAGAAAATAAAATATTTAATAAAATTAAAAATATATTATCGAAAGAGGATACAATAATTCCTTATTCAGCCGATATTCCTATTAGTGATCTGCATCGGGCCTAATTTTTCAAGCCCGGACCGCCCGGAATTTTTTTTAAAAAAGTTTTGCCGAACCGGCCCGAAATTTATTTTAAAAAATTTACCGGCCTGGCCAGGCCCGAATTTATTTAAATATAGAAATTAATTTTTATAATTACTTAAAATAAAAGACATATGTTATATAGCGTTTAGTTTCAATAAATTAAATCAAAAATTTTTATTTTACATAAAAAATTCAATATAAAATTAATAAAGTAAGATATATTTAATAAAATTTCCAAAGTCCGACCCGACCCGGCCCGAAATTTTTTAAAAATATTATGCCTGGCCCGGACCGATTATTTTAATTAGGCCCGGCCTAACTTTGCAAATCTCTAATTGCTATCGTGATTTCTTGTGACGTTTCCGAAGATGGTTTAGTAGCTGTTATTGTACACCGATTTCTTACTGGCCAGGAGAAACCGATTGTTACGCATCGAGGACACTTTCAGTTGCTGTAAAGAATTACGCCACAATTGATCGGAAGGCTTCGGCGATCATGTTCGCCATCAAGTTCCATCAATATATTGGAAGACATTTTATTTGGGTTATGGATCACAAACCTTTAAAATATATCTTATGTGATAAAAGAGACCTAAATAAAATAACCGTTTAATATGGTGGACGAAGAAGCTTTTAAATTAAGGCTACGAGATAATTCATCCATAGACCTGGTAATCAAACAAAAGTGTCTACGCTTTATCCCGCTTGGGGGTAGAGAAAGCAAGAACCAATGAGTTTACATCATAGAATTAAAAAATTAATCTAATAGAAAATTTATCTTTCCCTCGCAGATAAGTGGTTTAAAAGAGCAATGATATCAATCTGAAAGATTATTAAATTAATTAAAAGTCTTTGGTATATTGATAATATAAATATAGGAGATTTAAAAAAAATTTATTTTAATTAAAGATAATATTTCGTTCGATTGATTAATATTTTATCATGATAGGGTTATTCCCCGATAATAAAGAAGGTTTTGAATGTTCATCAAGGACATTTTATAGTGGGGATGAAATCATTATGCAGATACTATGTTTTTTGGACAAATCTTGATCGTGATGTCAAATAATTCGTTAAATGCTACAAGAGTTGCCAGGAAGTAAGAATTGTAGTCAAAGTGGCGTAAAACAAATGGAACATTTACCCGTCATTGGGAACAAATACATATTAATTTGACAGGCCCCATATCTGGAAAATATTTAATTTGCGTATACGCCTTCATCAAATGTTTGAAGTTGCAATTTTAATATTAATTCGGCGAGTATAATCAACAATCTGCGTAATTATTTTTCTAGATTTGGGTAAACTTGCTACATTGTTTCAGATAGCGGTACTCAGTTTACTGGGTCTGAAAAAAATTTCTTTACATATAACTTTTAGATCGGTCCCATATAGCCCAAAATCTAAAGGTTTGGCTGATCGTATAGACGTACGATAAAGACGCGTTTCTATGCTGGAAGGAGATGTGGGGCTCAGGGTAAGTTAGATTTAGAGAATGTTTTAACTCCTCACCGAAATACTCCAAATGCAACTACCAGTAAATCCTCTGCCGAAATGATGTTAAGACTACTAGGACGACGTTAGATCAAAAGAAACTAACTAGGTGAAATATATTATAAAGATAGGAACGTTTAGCCTTGTAAATTTGAAGAGAAGCAAAAGGTTGAAGTAGAAGACGAAATAATTGTGATATGAAGGGACCGTGGTTCAACGGAAAAGTGCGATATTGTATGATGGTGAGTCTGTGGGTATTGTAAAAGACAAGCATGTCATCCAACTGAGGGATGCTCATGTACAAGCTAAGAAAATAGCCATAACAATGACAGAAGATTTGAACAATGAAGAAAAAATAAAAAGTTTCAACCCCCCCCCTCCCACACACATTAGCATAACAAATTCAATTTGTAGTGGGAAGAACTGTAATGTATTAACTTTAAATAAATTGTATTTTGTTTAAGGATACAATTTATAGTAATTAATTATCATAAATGTACTTTTGATGAAGATATAAACATATATTTGTATGTTAAATTATCTTTAAATCAGATTACACTCATCTAACTATTCTCACCTTTATTTTCAACTTGCCTTAATTGACCATGTTTTGCTGTCATACACTATACAACTATTCCCTTCAAAGCTAGAGAGACATTTTTTAATTAAAATTGAAGAAATTTATCAGAATTTCTTCCATGTATACTTTATCCTACCTCCTACATCTTCTCTAGGTATTTCCCTATTTCTTTCTGTTTCATTTGTGATATCAAAATCTATTTTATTACCATATTCTTGCACACTTTCTATGTTGCACTTGCCATCTACAGATTTCTATTTACACATTACCCTGATTGTTAACCTATTTACAAGTACAAGTTAGTAAATTAATTCATTTCCCATCTCCTGATTTTAAATGCATTTCTTATTTTAATTTATTTATAGTGATATTCAATCAAGCAAGGAACAATGAAGGAAATAAAACAAATATTATCTCTGTCATAGGCAAGGTCTGTTTTATTGTTGTTAAAGGGGGATGCACTCACAAGTCCCACTTCATTCTAATTAATTTTGCATTCATTAAAAACATATTTTTTTTTAAAAAAATATCCAAATTCACTATTATTTAAGATGAAAATCAAGATTTGCTCATTTAAATCATAGCTAGATATTTCCTTACTAAGTTAATTTAGGATAAAAATTAAAAAACAAAGCTGAAACTTTTATCCATATAGCTTCTATCCCTGTGAAAGCCAAAGCAATATTGATACCATTCATAGCCATCCAGTCTATTTCCCTTTCCCATTTAAAAGTGTCATAAAATACATATGAATAACTGAAAGTGCAAGGATTTAGGTAATATTGAAATCTGATGATTTATTTTATGAAAATGAAATGTCTATAAATATAAAAACTGCAGGGATGAGATAAATTTCATAGGTTTTAATAAATATGGAAGTTTGTAGGGAAGAGAGAACTGAAAACCAGCCCATGAAACATGAACCCCACAATATTTTCTCAAATAATCATATAGCCCTCTTGCAAATGAATGAGCACTGTTTGTTGATATTAGTATTCTATCATCTATGCTTTCAACCTTAAAAATCTCAAATACCTTTAAGCAGTAATAAAATTTACTTGATACCAATCTTTTAATGAATGGTTATTTATTACATTAAAGCTTATTTGACTCTTATGGTTGGGTAGTAAACGCAATATAAGATCCTTAATTCCTTTCATTTGATCTGAAGGGGCATTAAGATTAGTGAAAGAACTCGCTTGAAGAGTTATAGTTAGCAATAAAACTTTATAAAATAAAATTAATTAATTGAATATATTCTGCATACATAAGTTTAACATATTTTATTCATTCATGTTGCTCAAATTTAAAAAAATTTTTGTTGATGAAAATCTTATAATGCATGCATTCATTTATCTTCGCAGTTTAAAAAAAAATGATAGTATTTTAAGTTATAATTTTAGATATCCTAAATTTTATTAAGATACATGCAATAAACCTCTTCTTCCAAAAAGTCATATACATGCTTTGAACCTATATAACAGGTCCGATCCAATATGAACCCATTTTTTAAAAAACTGTACGATATTTAAATGAAAGCAGAAAAATTTTAAATGGTGAAAGTTAATTCAAATGTTTAGTATTATTTTAAAATATTTATAAAAATATTAAAGAAATAAATCATTTAAAAATTTAGTAGAAAATTGTGTCCGGTCTGGAATAAACTTTAAATCAAAGTCCGAATCTGATTAGGGATGTCGAAAGCTATTAGCAAAAAGGGATGCCAAAAGGTGCTAATTTATTCTATAATAGTGTTTTTTTTCCAATTATATATAATTTATGGGGAGGCCTCACCTCCATGCCCCCTTTTGGCGGGCCTACGACCCGCCACATATAGATAAAAGCACAGAGTTGAGAAATATGGAACACTATTTTGTTGAGTTGCTTTCCATATGTTTTTTAAAATAACATTTTTTAAAATTTTCACGATTGATAAGATTACAAATAATTATACCAGAGGTTTGATTTATACATACATTAAATATTAAATGTAATATGAATTTATAAGAAAAATCAAGAGAGTCATCACAAAATATAATTAAGCATCTTAAAATACTGTTTGTAAATTTTCATAAGTTATCATCATTTCTTAATAGTAGTTCAAATAATTAAAGAATAAATTATTAATAAATTTATATTTTTATTTTATATTAACTTAAAAAACTGTAAAGTTATAATCTATGTGCAAAAGATTTATCCCAGGATATTTGCAATTCAGATGAATAAATCATTTTGTAAATTAAAAACTCCAACCCAATTTGAACATTTTTTAAATTAAGACTTCAATAAATAGGGATATTACATTTTATCAATCATATTAAATTATGATTTTTAAAAGTTTTAATGTCCATTAATATTATTGAAAAACTTATACTTTTAGAACGTCTGCTATTATGTTATTTTGTGTGAACTTGAATCTACGACCTGACTAAAAGATTATCTAAATAAAAATTTAAGATAGTTTTTTTTTATATTATACTATTAGACACAATTGTAATGTGTTGATTAGTGTTGTTAATATAATTTTGAGAAACGTTAACTGTAACTAATAAATTGAAAAGGGATACTTTTGCCTATGACTAGTTCTATTTCAAAGAAGGTAACTGTGCTATGTAAGTTAAGTTTTGGACAAGGTAACTTTTTAATGTAACTTGTTACTTAAAAAAATAATTTTAATAACATAACGTTGATAATGTAGCACTAGCAGAAGAAAATTTATCACTTTGATTGGACTTTATTTTCATTATATAATATGATTAACTCAAAATAACTAAATTGAAGATCATCATAAAATATATGTTCTAACATCAGATACTTAAGAAACTCGATTAATACTTGTAGAAGTAGGAGTTGATAAAAATAAATTTAAGTCTTAATAAAATATGGTATAGATTTTAACCAATTTATACTTTTTTAAGATTTAGTTATGATTAAATAAATTATTTTTTTTCCCTTGAGATATAATATAAAGAAAGAAAGAAAGATTTTTTTTTGAAATTGTCAATGTTATGCATATGAAGCGAAATATATTTAAGATATATTTACTAAAATTTTAAGGATAAAAAATATATTTTAAAATATTAATTTTAGAAAGCGGGGCAAAGCATACAAATATTTTAAAAATAACAATATAAATTAACCTCCTGCTGCACCAATGATATTTCCAGCGTATCTTTAGTCGCTACCTCTATTCTTGCTATTATATTCGCGTAAATAATTTGAATATAAATTATATTTTTATATAATTTGTTAGTTTGTGAATATGTGATCGACGATTGTTAAGTATTAATTTGACTATGCAGTCTAGGAATTTATTTTTTATGAACTTAAATAGACTTGTAATTTTAATTATTTTTTATGAATACTTGTAATTTTTATTATTTTTTATGAATTTTTAATATACTTGTAATTTTTGCATATTAAAAATAAGTGAAAAAATTTTAAAATAAAAGTCAGTGTATGGTTTTATAATTGAAGAAATTTAGTATTGTTGTGAAAAATTCAAGATATAAAATTTGTTTAGTGAAAAACAGGAGTCGTAAGATTTATTAACCGAATTATTTAATTTTTTATATATTCCTTTTTATTAATACTAGGTTCCATTAAATTCATTAAAGTCTCTCCCACGAGCCTTCAACAATTTTATTACAATTTTATAAGGAATTGTAACACTTGCCACATTTGCATTCTTGCCTCTCGTTTTCATAGGTAGAAAATTCATATTTGCCAAAAAATATGACCCAAAGGGGCCGTATCTTAGGCAGAGAATAACCATACAAATACTGTAGAAAAACTTGTTTACTAATTTTCTTGAAAAACTATTCCTACTATATTTTAATTTTTTTTTTCCTTTATATATTATTCGCTAGTTTTATGTTTAGATTTATTTTACTGTATGATAAATAGAATGCTTAACATTAACGACAAAAAATTTAATAAGTATTTTTAAACAAGACAAATAATTTTATTGTTTTTGGAATGTTTGAAAATATCCGAAGTTTTAAACTACATTAATGTGAATAGAATTATAACTCTTTCTCTTCAATTAAAATCTGTTAGAAAGAATAATATCTCAAAAATAGGTAGCTTAATAAAATATTTAAATAAAATTCACCAGCTATTTTTAACAACATTTAAGTAGATATTATGATTATATATAACTCTTAGTGCAATATCTCAGAAATAATGCGATAAAATTTTTTCCTTAAAGTGATTATAACTTTCTTGAAGAGATTAGACAATAATATACAATTATATATATAAAATGGTAATTATTCTAAATTAACTTCAATTCCTTAAATGTTATTATAATCTGGAGCCAATTTTAAAATAAATGTTTTCAATTAACAAATCTTCGCCAGTTTTTAAAACTGCATTTATTTTTGTGTTAGTATATGATCTTCAAATAACCTGACACCTTTAGGATATAGATACTTTAATAACTCCATTACGCATACTGCGTAAATGGCAGAGTAGGCTCTGTAAATGAAAAATGATATCAAATATTTATTATTAATATTAATATATAAATTAAAATTTTTTTATTATGAGTGATGCAACTACAAGAAACTTTTTAAAATGATATAATAGCATTTTAAAAATTTTCCAAACCACAGCGTTGCCACTTTAACGGCGGCGAACCCAGGTGTCAACTTAATCGGCAGTTTTTCAGGTGTGGAAAAATTACCAGCGGCACATAGGACACAAGCCCACCCAGTTCCCGTTGAAAAGGAGAGAGGAATAATCCAGTAGTATCAAGTTGCTGCGCTGAAAAAATTTTTCCCAGCGTGTAGGCTCGATCTCACTACTAATATTATTGAATAATTGATAGGAACAAGAACTGAAAATTAGACAGTTGTAATTATATATGAAAAATTTTAAAAATGAATATAAATTTCCTAATTGTATTAAATAAGTAAACGCCCTAAGCTCAATAAAAAAAATAAAGAAATAATAAATAAACCTTAACATTAAACTTTGCGTTAATGACCTTGCAAATTAATAAATATGAAATAAAATAATGCTTAAAATTGATCGAAAAATATAATTATATTTATTAACATATAAAAAAATATATTAAGGAAATTTATGTTATTTCAAAGCACTTTATAAGAAAAGTTTGATTTGAAATCATTATGTCATTCAATTTAATAATTTATTTTTTTTAATGAGGGGAAAAATAATCAATTTAAATTTGGGATACATAATTGTTAATTTATTGATTGTTTTATTTTATACCAACACCCTTAATAAATGTAAAATAAATATAAAAAAACAATTACCAATATGAATATAATTAAAAATTTCAAGGTTAAACGTTTTAAAAATTATTGTAGTGTGTAACTGAATTTTTGGTAAAAAAAACAAATAAAAAAATTTATTATATTTTAAATGTTGTTTAAAATTTTTTTTATTGAATAAAAATTTGTTTTTTTTATAAATATAGGGTTTATTGGATCTATACCTAGTTATAAAACCTGTATTTTTCTAAATAAAAAATGCCGATAAGTTAAAACGGCAGTTAATTATTGCAATATTAATTATATTTCAAAAATTATTAAAAATTTACTAAGATAAAAAGAAATCCTAAACTGTTAACATTATCAAAAATATTATTTGGTTTTACATCAAAGAATTATAAATAATAATGTGTCAGGATATTTTATTAAATTTTTTCTGCATTATACATGTGAACAATACCAAAAATTAATTTTCATAAAAAGAAAATATTTTAAGCCTACATTAAAAAGATATAAATTTATAAAAAAAAATCTAAAAATTTCTATAAACTGATAAGAAAGCAAGTCTCTTTAATCAAAATGTTAGTTATATTATGTTTACTTTAATTAAATCATTATCTATTCATTCTTTAATTTTCTTTTTCACATAAACCTACATAATAGTGCGCACAAATTGAACGTTTCAACGCAGCGTTTCAAAAAGTAAATAATGCATTCGTTTAAATTGTTAACATTTCCGTTTTGCATTAAATTATTTATTAAAAACAAAAACTTGCCTTTTTTGAAGCGTTTTTAAATTTTGAAGTGATAGCATGGATACAACATTTTCTAAAAAGTAAAATAATTTGGAATTCTGATATTACAAAAAGATTTGCCAATTAAATATAAGGCAATCCCTTTTTTGTTTAGAATTTAGACGTTTCATATTGAAAAAAAATAAAATGAACGCTTCAATTTAAACATAGCTATGTTTACGTTTTTTTTATTTTCGTTTTGAAACGGTGCGTTGAAACGTTCAATTTGTGCGTACTTAAGTGAAAAAGAAAATTAAAGAAAGTTTTAAAAAAGAAAATTTACAAAAAATATTTTTAAAAAAAAGAGATTAATGGCACAGAACAGATGTACTATATTTTAAATTAACTATAAAGTTTGAAAGTTCTATTGTCTCATAAGTCATAATCATCAGAGATATAAAAAACCTTGGAGTAAAAATGAAATTAATTTTTTAATAAAATGAATAAATTGACCTTCTAAATTGGCTTTCTTTATTATTTAAGAGAGATTGAAATAGGGGAAAAAACATTAAGAAAAAGATTATAATAATTTTTAAAGGTATATGAATTCTTTCACACTCATTCCACCAATGGCATCGCCAGGGATAAGGCTGGTCTTAATCGTATAAATTTTTTTGGAAGCACCTCAAAATCTATATTATATCCAGAACGAACTTGCTTTATCTTTTATTTTGCATTGATTGGTAATATTCAAAGCATTAAATAAATAATGCTCAATAAATTATTCGTTTATAATTTAAAATAAAAAGGTAGTATATAAATTAAATATAAATTACAAACAAAACTATGTTAAAATTTTAAATGTAATATACAATTTCATTTCATATAATATATAAATTTTTTTTATTTATTACACTATTTTGAATATCGATTTCGAATTTCAATTTTGAAAATTCACGAAATAAATAAAGCATTTTTTTTATAAAAAAGAAGAAAGAATGAAATGCATAAAAAGGTGGAGAGGGCTTCGCAATAATTATCATAATATACAGAATCACAAATATTCTTAAATAAAATTTAAAAGAATTAGCATATTTTATATACATTCTTTTTTTATTACAAAAGTAATATAAAATTTTTTTAATTTGTCTTTAAAATAAAATGTATTTACACGTGTAAAACCTGAAAGATAATATACCCAAAATAACCTAATGTCTTTAAATTTTTTTTAATAAATTTGATCGCAATCGCATAATTTAAAAGGAATATTGCTTGAAAAATGATAAAAAAATAATAATTTTACATATTATATAGATAACGAAATAAGTTTATGACCTTATCAATAAAAATTACAAATTTTTATAATGAAAAATAATCGTGTCCTTTCTATACTTTATGATCATTAAAAAAATTAATAGCTAAAAATTAAAAAACATTAATAAAAATTACCAAAAACATAATCACAAGTTTTGAATTTTATTTTCAAACAATGCTTATTGCTTGCTTTATATTTATCCATAATAAATAGCAATCCTTATTATTCTCTTTCAATGTTGATAGTCCTGAATGGCGGTGGTGGTGGGGGTCGTCCCAACGAGGGAGGTGGAGGATGGGGAGGAGGTGCTAAATAAGGACCGGGGGGAGTTGGCACCCGGTTATCGCCTAGATGCGAGCGTGGTAAAGATGGAGAAGTATTTCCATCTAGCTTATCTCGAATACTCGATGTGACCTTTGATACCTCGGGGATATCCGCATTAACGGGATCCATTGGCTCAGTGGAACGATCAGGTCGGGAATAATTTTTGAATACCAGGAGAGCGCCCAGCAAATAGAATAGGAGAAGGACAATGGCGGTTATCTTAATTTAGGGAAAATACCAATTATAAATAAAATTAAACCAGATATAAAACGCTAAGGAAAACGTAATATATGAGAAAAAATTTTAAATTTCTGGGACCCTAAATCAAAATTTCCTATATAAGAGGGTAAATAACTTTTATAATGTTTTATTTAAAACGCTTTTATGTTAATAGTTAAAGTTAGTTTGCTATCTAGACATTTACGAGAATTTATTTGCAAAGGCTGGGGGTAGGCCCATAGCTATGCCTATATTGAGAGGTATAAAGGTGTTGGCATAAATGAAACATTTGAAAGATTCTAATTCTGCGAAAATGAATATAGAAATATAACATTTAAATTTGTAATAAAAAATCTTACCACACCAATCATATGTCCAATTGTGCATGGATTTATCGCTAATACTATTATGGCAATAAATATGAATAATGCGCAGAAAAATTGCTGCAAGAACGTCTAAAAAATGTTAAGAAATAAAAATATATTAATTTTAAAAAATTTAATGCATGTGAAAAATAATTTACCTTCCTTTTCTATTATTATAAATCTGATAAATGCCAAACAATGGCCAGTTTGAAAAAAATTCGTTTGGCCAAACAAATATTATTTTTATCATAATTCTTTTTATATAAAAGAGTGTTAAATTAGGGTTATAAATATCATTTTTGTTAAAATTATAATTTCATAAAAAAAAATTTTATGCTATGACATATTATGATTTTTGGCCAACAAAATTTTGTAAACTAGACACTTAATCCATATTATATTGATTCACGTGATAAAATTACCTTTCCAAGAAAATAAGATATTATATTTTTAAAACAAACCAACCATAAATAAACGTAAAGTAGAAAAGTTCAACTATAATTTGTTTTAAAAATAAAACCATTAAAATATTCTATTAATATATTTCCGTATACAACATTTCTCACAAGTTATAAGGGATTTGCGCATTTTATTGAATTAATCAAGATTTAAAGTATTAGATACAGTATAAAACCAGTTAAAAGTGTTTCTTAAAGGGAGAAAATTTTAAACAAGAATAATTTAGCAATATATACTATGAGAAGCCAGTTGATCTTGTCCAATTTGTATGGTATGTTGCAAACGAAAACTATGAGGAAGATCATATTAAGCCAAAAGACGGATAAAGTGAGCGTCGTAAATGTTCGTATAGAACCAACAGATTCTAAACACCACGTGGAAAATTCAACGATGAAAAATGCTAATATAGCCACCAACTTTAATTTAGAAAATAAATATTGATAAATTTTTTTTAAAAAACAATATAACTTCCTTATTTTGACCACTATAGAGATCAGTATTCTTATGTCAGAATCATATTTAAATGTTCTATATATTGACCAAACCATATCTATATTATGACGTTAAATACATAATAGTAATGAGTGGTCATCTGATGGGTTACTGGTGGTGAGGGAGCATATGATAAAACAAGCCAAAGTTTAATCCCTGTTTATATAAAAGAGTTTGAGAGCAGTGAGTTATAGCTAACTAGCCTCTTTCATGGAGAAAAAAATTCTTCATTTAAAAAATAATAAAGTTATTCATCTTTTTTATTAAGGATGGAATCTTTTGCATACCGAAACAAATTTCCCTGATTACCTAAAAAAGCAACAATTGTAAATTAATTTATTTGTAAAAGTAAATGTAGAAAAATGAAAAACGTATTTAATAACGCCAAATATTCAGGTATGTTAAAAAAATCGAAGAAATTTGAAATGCCTTTAAGATTTCTTGTATTAATTTTCGTTAATTAAAATATTTACACAGCGATTCGTATCATCCTATTTAAATATTTATGTAATAAAAACTAAATATACAATTAAATCGAAGCGATTTTCTCCATTTATAACCGTAAAATAATTTTCCCGGAAAAAACAAATTCTTTAAACTTCAGACAACGAAATATTTTGGCATAAATCAATAGAACACTATTGTTAATTATAACCTTCCTTCCCTCCATCCTGCCTGTAGGGGGAAAAATTGGAAACATTGTGTTCAAAATTATTATTTCTCAATAAAGATTAATTGCAAATCGCAAAAAATACCAATTAAAAATATTCCCTTTTTAAAACTCGTAATTAATATGAAATTCTTTTAGGCTATGTCCTAAAGAACATTTATTTGTATTATGATTTAAATATGATAATGAGGAGTCTAACGACAGAATATTCAGTGATTTAGTTTTCTATGGTACCTCCATTTAAATAAATAGTATTTGTTGTAAACCTTCGCTAGGATAGTTTTAGGACATAAAAACATGAGAAAGGAAGGATACCTTTTTTAGTTAAAAGCGGAGCGAAAAACATAAAAACGAATATTTTGAAAATTATTCGGAAATCAAAAAGGAAAGAGAAATATACCATGTAATAAAAAATTCAAAAAAATATATTTCTTAATTAACGTTAAAAAAAAGATAACAAATGCTTTTGCCCTTAAAATCCATTTTTAGAATTTTTTTGTGAATTAATTTTTTTACTTTAAAAAAAATGAAAATAAATATCTTTGCGTTGATTTTCAAAATCAAGTGTAAACTCCCTTCTTTTATGCAGGCTAGTACAAACGGGGTGGCAGCCAGGGTGGCGGTACCACGGCGCAAAAATAAAGACTCCGCTAAATTCTGTTTTTTTGTGCATTTAAAAGAGAATTGCAGTTTATAAAAAAATAAATAATTATTACATTTCCAAATGACAAAACTAGTTCTTTATTTTACGATTTTTTTTAAAGCTTAGGTAAATATTGGTTTTTAAAGGACCATTTATTTTCGAACCTGCTGCAATAGCTTTTGTATCTGCCTGTCTCTATAAAAGAATTAGCCGTGACGTCATTAGGGAGGGGTTTAAAACGCTTAAATTTAATTTGAGTACCCAGCCCCCTCTAGTAGTATTTATTTGGACAAAATAATTTGCGTACCGAACCAACAAAAACGCGAATTGACTGAAGGAAACTTTAAAACAAAAACAAATTTATCTTTTAACTTCAAAGGTATAAAAAGAAATTCCTAATTAAAATCGTAAAAAAAACAAATTTGGTAAAAAATATTTAATAAAAGTGGGATGGGAAAACATGTAATATCAAATAAAAGTTATTAAAACATATTATAAAAGAAATAGATATTTCGACATATTTAAAATGTAAAAAATAATTATTTTTGCCAAGGCCTTTCCCTATTTAATTTTAAATTTGTGATTACAAATATTACTTATTTTATTTGTATTAACATGGTTATATAATGTTTAAATAGCTGCGAATATTATAATTTTAAGGTTATATGTTATTAGGGTGGAATGTGCGAAAGTAATTAGAATTTGCATTCGCGAAATGTAGTTATGCGATATTTATAATTTAACCCTAGCCATTTTATACTAACCCTAGGCGTAGGCTACATCATGTCTTTATAGCCTCTACTTAGTATCGGTAAAATCAAGCATATTTGCATATTATTTTAAAATAAATATTAATATAACCCAACATCTTATCCAGCCTTATCCCGTACCATGTTTGGGCGAGATTAAGTCAGAGATCGGAACATTATAACCCGAACTACAGAAGCGAGTGGACTTAAAATATGTAGTTCTGGAGTTCTTGCCTAGCAAATTTAAAATCATAAAATAATAATTATTATTTTTAATTAAACAAATTTTAAAACCATTCATTACTCAATCTTTTTGTGTGGATGGAGTTTAGGTTAATATCAGGTGAAAATCTTTTTAAAGTTAGGGTTAGGTAAATTAGGCACAGTTTTAACATTGTGCGAGAGTCACGGCCCTACATACTAATTAAATTTTAATTCAAAATGATAAGTTTGGATATAAAAAAAACGTTATATGCTTATATTAAAATAAAAAAAATATAGTTATTATATATTTGAATAGTGTTTTAGTTTTGGTATTATTTGATTTTAAAACTTCGACAATGATGGAGTCGAACTAAAAATAATAGAGGATGAACATGTATTTGTTTTATTATAATTTTGGAAACCCTAAATAATTATCTTAACTTAAAAACAAATTGAAGGAGATAGAAGTGATATTTCATCATTTATCATCTTAATATCATCCCGCCGCTCTCTTATTTTTAGTTAAACAGAAGGGCTCTTCAAATTTTTCAGGGGTTTAGAGCCCCGGCGCCCCTTCCCCCAGTAACGCTACTGGTGAAAGATATCCAATTATAATATTTGGTCAAGTATAACTCCACCTTGCAAATCTGATTGAAATAAAAGATAGCTTGATTTAAATTAAAAAGATCTGTATTTTTTTTTAAAAAAAATAATGATTTAAATAGATCGTGTTTTAAAAATAATATTAAAGTTACAAGTTACGTTTTTAAAAAGGTATATTTAAAGTTATTAGTTGCATTTCAAAAGTAATTAGTTACATAGCAAGTTACTTTAAATAAAATATAGCTAATCATTTTTAATAGTTTTTATTATGTTTTACGATTTACAAATTTTAATCAAAAGAATTAACATAAATAATTGTACTGAAAAAAATAATACAATATAATATATTTTTCATAAAAATCTGGGCTTAATAAGTTTTTAACGCATGCAAGTCAATTAGCCGTGCGAAATTTGCGTGGATCCGGCACAGCGACAACTCGACAAAATAAAAATGACACTTAAAGTGGTTAAATAACCCGAGATGCCATGGCAAATCGGCATAAAAATATTTAGCATAATAAATATGTTGATTCGATATCACGCCAGTTAAAAACGGAAAATCCACCGGGGTCAAATGCGCATACAATGCATGTGAAAATATTTAGTTTGAAAAGAATAAGCAAATCAGTAATTTATAATTTAACCCTGGAACACTAATCCGTTAAATTTAAGACCTAAACAAATTATAATATCATAAGTAAACAAATTATAATATCATAAGTAAACAAGATTTTTTAATTTCCAGAATAATCATGCAACATCCTATATTATAAAAAAAATATATAGAAATATAGTATAAAATTTATTTATAGATTTTAATAGTGCCCACAAATTGAACGTTGCAACGCAGCGTTTCAAAACGCATATATAAAAACGTAAACGCAGCCTTGTTTAAATTGATGCGTTAAGTTTAATTTTAATATGAAACCTTTAAATTTTAAACAAAAAAATTACTTGCCTTATATTTCCTTAAAAAAAATAAAGAAAGGAAGAGGAGCAAGACATCTTAAATATATGTTAAAAGTAATCTTTTTTTCTGAATATATTAATAATAAAGGCGATTTCATTCTCAATTTTATAATTATACAAGATAAGTTAAAATAAATTTAATTCATTATTAATTATTTATATAATAGATATTTATGGTGTATAATTTGCACAACTTAGTTATAGCTCAAGGATTTCAAAATCCTGTATAGCTTGCAATTTGGAATGCTGCTGCACATATTCACATACCTATGCCTAATAAAAATGATTGGGAAAGAGTAAATTTATTATAATAAATCAAGATTAATATTTACTTATCTTTAGTTTTCCCAGGAATTCCTGCTTCAATCAGGATTTCCAAATTGTTTTGGGGCTATAGATGGAAAACATATCTATATCAAGAGCCCTCTTAATAGTGGCTCACAATTTTTTAACTGCAAGCATCGATTTTCAATTACCCTGTTAGCCCTAAAAGACATTAACAGGAAATTTATTTATATAGATGTGGGAGCATATGGAAAGTAGAGTGATGGTAGAGTATTTAGAAATAGCTCTTTATATAGAGGTTACATTATATTAATTTTATTATATCTTAAAAATATATTAATAGTTGGTGAACCATACACTTGATCTGCCTGCTTTATGTAATCATCCAAATTAGATACAACAATGATAAACCTCACTACAAGACCTTTCTTACCTAGCAGAGAAAATAATTCTACTTCAATGGAATCAAAAATTATTAGAGACAAATATAAAAATTTTATAAATTATTAAATTTTTATATTTATATTTATATTGTATTAAATTTATTTATGAAAATATTTTATATTAAATTGTGTTGCATATTTAATTTTTATAGACAATTATGTTATTAAATGATATAAATAAATAGATTGAATATTAAGGAAAATTTATTTAATATATTAAATCTTAATATGGACACTATTCTAGGTGTAGCCAGTTGAGCTGTTTAAAATCTTGAGGAATGAACCTTAAACTTAAAATAATATCAATTCTAATATCTTACAACATCATTTATTAAAAAATTATTAAAAATATACAAAATACATACAATACATTTTTATAAAAAATAAATAATTTATATAATGCTATTAAAAATGTCTAATGGAGAATCATTGTCAGGTTGTGATGATATAGGTTCTGATGATATATCATTTGTCTTGAGATATAAATATTTCATAACCTCTGTTTTAAACAGCAATTGCTTCTCATAGCTTAAGGATTCAGCCTCCTCTACAAGGCTATTCAAAAAATGCCTAAATAAAATATAAATAAATTTAAAATATAAATTAGCTTTACAGCATCCCAGATGGGCTTTCTTCCAAAACATTTATTAACCTATTAAATTCATTCAGTACTTTAAGTTTTTTTGTTGTTGAGAGTTCCACATGTAAATTAACATTTCTAATATTTTATACAAGGTAATTAACTTTTTGAGAATAACTAATTTTTTATGAATAGTAAAATATTTTCTGGGATTTATTCAAATATAGATGGTAAGTAAAATCAATATAAATTTTGGATCAATATAAGATAGGCTTTGTAGTAACATCAGAACAGAATTTAAGGATTGGCACAGCCCTACTCTTTATTTTCCAAGTAGTTATTATCAACTTACCAATAAAATAAATAACATGAATATTTAATTAAGTAGGTTTTCCTATTTTCTCCTTTTGAAGTTTCTCATGAAAAAGAGTTCAGCATTTCTGCAAACCTTTCGGTAATTTCATCGTTCCATGTCCTAATATCATTTAATAATAATTATTCTTACAATTTAGAAGAATTTTATCACTTCAAAATTTAAAAAGTTTCAAAAAACGCAAGCAAGTTTGTCTTTTAAAAAATAATTTAAAATGAAAAACGGAAATGTGCTCAATTTGAACGAATGCATAAAATGCATTGTTTGCGTTTTGAAACGCTGTGTTGCAACGTGAGCACTATAATGCGATAATTAGGTGTTGAGTACAAATTACTTTTGCACTGATTTCACTAATTTATCTTCAGTCGGTTTGTTTTATATTCTCCATCCTTGCCGAATTAAGAAAATTTTTGAAACTTCCTTTTACGTATTAAATTTGGCGTATTTTCCCCAATGACATATAATATATAATACCTCATTCACATTAATGCATTTAAAGTATCGTTGAATGCAAATCAGTTGAAGATCAAGTGACACGCCATTTTGGTATACTATAAAAGATCCAAAATACTTTAAATTATTTGAATTTGGTCTGCTAAATACATATTTCTTGTGAGAATAGCCTTGGAATAATTGCGAGGTAGGATATTATTTTACTCCGCTTACATTAAAATTTAAAAATTTTATATACGCTATGCGTTACCAAAATGGCGTCATAATAGCGTCCTCAAATGTATTTTTATTGAGGAAGGGTCTTTAAAGTATGATCGATCATAGATTACCCAAGAATTATTTGATCATTTAAAGATATTTATTTCAAAAAAATGAAAAATAATATATTGAACATTTTGTTACGGAATATCAACTTAATATTCTTATCTTAAAAATAAGACTAATTAATTTTTAAACTCGATTATTTTTTATATAAAAAATTCTAATTAAATTTTTTTTTCTAAAAAATTATTTTTAACATGTATCTAAAACATAAAAGTCATCGTGTATACATATAAATAAATGTCGCAATTTGAGATTTTGATTTAACCAACTCACCGGATTTACAAATAGGGTAAAAAATTTTAAAAGATTTATACATATAAAAATAACTCGGGAAATCTCCAAGAAATTTAATTTTTTATTTACTAAAATAATATGCATCTAAAAGATTTATTATAGCATGTCTAGAAACGTTTTAAACAAATTTTCTACAATATCCAAAATAGAGGTCGGGATAGCCAGGTCCGTGGGATGGGAAAAGAGATTTTCGGGGTTAGTCGGCCAAATTGTTCAAAAAATTTTAAGGGCAAGGCCGGCCGAATTGAAAATGTTTTTAAAGCTGATAATCGAACAACTTTATATAGTTGTCAACCTTCATAAAAAATTATTACGAGGCGGAAAAAAACCCGATTGTTTTCACGGAAAATAACAAATGCTGATTTTTAAATGTTTAGTTAATATAAAATGTAACTTACTTACTTTCCCTCTATTTCTTCTTTCTTTCTTGGTTATAACATACAAAATGTAAATAAAAATATTAAAAAACGTAATAATACAGTCAACTTGTAAATTAAAATTCTTTATATAATTGAGAATGGATGATGAGAAATAATTTATTAATTAATCTTTATGCAATAAAAAAACGAAATATTTTTTATAAAAACAGCCATTCCTAGTTTCTACCTGAAAATTATACTTTTTAAAAATGTTCTGGTTCCTAAATGGCAATCTTTCAAAACACACGCTTTTTTTTATCGTGAAATTTTATAGTATTTTTATTTCACCTGAGAAAGTTTTCAGAAACGTTTAATTGAGTGATTTAAATTGTTACCATGAGCCAGCTTAGGTTACTTTATTTATTAAATAAATAAACAAAAAATTGATGTGTCAAATTATATCTGCACCCAATTGATTGCTCTGTACTGTAGTGTTGTTAAAAAGCCTGATTTGGGTCAATTAAGATTTTAGCTAAAATAATATTATGTGCATTGAGATTTGGCAAATAGATGTCCAAGCATTTCTGCCAGCTATTTGCAAAATCTTTAGGCTTACATAATGTTATTTTGGTTATGATCTTTATTAGCCCGTTTTTTAAATCAACCCAAATTGGGCTTTTTAACAATACTACTATACTGACATGCACTCAATTTTTGTTATGCCATATATAGACTGAATTATCATGTGCCCAATTGTCAGCCATGAATATGATCAAGCAAATAGATAGGGGGAATTTTTTTAGGGAAGGGACAAAAAATTTTGTTTGGAGTAGGTTAGGGCAAGATTTTTGGTACACCTCTGATTAAAATACTTTAACACATTAGTACCTTTAAATTTATTTATTACCCAGTCTGTAAAAATATTTTAACAAAAAATGCTTGGCCTAACCTAAAAATATTTTTTCCTGACTTGTCAGGTTTTAGGTCAGGCTACAACGACCGATAACTATTATTTTATAAACAAAAGGTGTTTCTAATCTTTTCCCAATAATTTCTTTTAGGGTGATTATGATAGCACACTAATAAAATTGTAATTTGGAAGCCTTTTTAGTCAAACATTGATAACTATTTTGTGAAAAAAAATTTTGCAATATGTAATATTTTTTTTTATTAATTCTGAGTTAAAATTTTATAAAATAAACATTTACAAATATGTCAATAAAAATAAGAATGATAAAGCAATATTTACCATTTGTGTGACCAAAATAATCCCTGTAGCAGATTTAGAAAAATTTAAATCCAATGGTCCACAGATCGGATCAAAAATGGCCGTACTTTTTTCTACCTGACACATTGTTTATATAGGAATTACGTATGAATTATAAATTCATCAAATGGAAAATTTAAATAATTCCACATTTAAAAAACAGCTGTAAAATTTTGAAACATATTTTCTCTTGAGGAAAATAGCTATTTAATTATTATTAATATTATATAAATAAATTGCCCATAAGGCTGTGAATTTCAGATAATATATTTGTGTTTCTAAATACATTATAAATAAATAATCTAATATTTAAATATCTTCAGGTAAAAGTAAATAATTTTTAAAATAATGAAAATAATATAAATTTTTAAAAGCAATTTAATTAAAAAAAAGGCTAGAAAACTAAACATCTACATGATTCGGGGATACAGTTTACTTCCAAATTTTTTAAGGGGGTTAAGTGTCACATCTAGAGTACGCATCTATAGGGGGAGGGTAGGCATGGTAGGCATCTAATAAGGGCAAATTTTATTAAGGGTAAACATTTGCATTTATAAAATAATGTAAAGTATATTGCTGTAAAAATTTATTTAATAATTGAATTATAGACCTATTCTAACATACATAGATTACTAAACATTGAAAAAACTCTATATGCCTATTGCACACAATTACAGTTATTTAAAATAAAAAGTTCCCCTCCAAAGATAAACATTTTCAATTAAGTTTATGCCATAATACCCCGAAAAATAATTATAATACAAAACCAACAACTATTCTTTATAATACCTTTAATAATATATATATTATAATTATATAATTTCTATAAATGTTGGAATTAATAAACAATCATTTAATGTAGGTAGGAGTTTTAAGGTTATTATAATACAAAACTCATTAATTAGAAGTGTAGAAATTTCCCAGCCTTCGATGTTGCATTTTTTTTATGAGGATAGATATAACTTTTAGAAGACAGTTTGCCTCCCGAATGGGAAAACCAATGTGTGTTTTTAGCTAGCACCATCCGAGCAGAATGTAATTAAATTATTTTGGAGATACTTTTTATTAAAAACATATTGTATAAGACAAAGCATGAAAGAATCACAAATCGATTCGACTATTGTCAAAAATAATTCTTTCAAATTATCAAAAATATTTCTATGGCTTCCTTAATTACACACCTAATAAATAATACCAATATGTAATCTTTTTGAATGGCCTCATCACTTATTTAAGCACACTTTGAAATTTACTTTGTTTACCCATGGCCATATACCTTAGTTTTAGTTGATTCTTAGGGCACATAGAGTTGTAGACTAGATTCAGTCCGGCATGACGATAGTTTGGTGCTTAAGATGATATGGCACTCAATCCATCTTTAAAATTAGTACCCATTTTAAAAGATGAATTTGCGCTCTATTTCTTTAAATTATCACCAAATTTTAAATATTTGTTTAAATTGTTTATTTAACGGAATTTTAAGTCATATTTAAAAAGATATTATTTTACTTGTGGCAAATTATTTTATTGTTCTTCCTTTTGCCATAAGCAAGACAAAATGTTAAAGTCATAAAGTATCATATAAAATTTAATATATTTCAAACATTTTTGCTCTAATTTTTGAATATACAAATAGTTGTGCTTATTTTCCAACAAATTTAGGGTGCGTCCAAAGTCAAAATTTTATTTTAAATAAATTAATCTATTATTTAAATTTACGAAATCGAGTTTGGACGCCTTAAATGCGTGAATTATTTTTTTAATTAGACTTATTTCTGAATTAGTTCCTATCTAAACTTTAATGGAAAAGTTTACGTAAGGTGTGTAAGAAGTTTTATAGTTTATGGCGTTAAAACATGGACAATGAAAGTGGATCACGAAGCTAAATTGTGTTAAGAACATAGAAGAGAATGTTTAAATGGATGTGTGGGGTATCTCTGAGAGAGAGATAGAAAGAAATTTTAAAGGATGGGAATCGAAGAAATTGGAATGGTAGTGGGAATAAATAGATTGAGATGATTTGGGCATGTGGAGCGAAAAAGAAAGATGACTGGGTAAATAGATGCACCTCGATAGTAGTAAAAATATCAAGATTTCGTAAGGCTCAAGATAACAACGGATGATATGAGGAAAATATATCTTATAATAGTGATGCTCAGGCTGATAAAAAAGGTGAATCAGAGGGTAAACTGGTTTATAAAGGTAAACCTGGATCGGCATAAATGGAGAAGAAGAAATGATAAACTTGGTAAAAACATTATTATAATTTTTTTGATGACAAAATCTAAAGGATAAAGGCATTTTTTTTATTGATTATGAGGGTAAAGCATTTGAATTAGATATTATTTTGATTAGCGAATACTAATTATAGTAGAAGATATAAATCTATGTACCTATACCTGGCCGATAGCAATGCAAAAGCCTGCTGAAAGGCTGGTAAATGATATGGGTATAAGCGGGGGCGAAATCCCCTATACATTATATATAAATAGAGTAAAAATAATTATAAACGATTTTTATTAGCATCCTTAGCCCCTCCTTTTATAGCTACCCCCCCCCCCCCCCCCCTGGTAGTTAATTTAAAAAAAGTAAAATTGTTGATTCTATCTTGTATTAGATATTAGATATAAAACTGCCATTACCGACCTCGAAGGTGAGTTTATATCTACTCTTACATCTAGTTATCTTTGTGAATTGATGAATGATATTCAGGAATTACTATGTAAAATTCATTATTTAAATGTAAAATCCCTTACAGAACAAAAGATAATATATAAAATAATAGATTTAATATAAATTATCACTCAGATAGGGATATTTCTAAAAGTAAAAATAATTTTTTTTAAAAAACAACCGAAATAACGATATTTATCATGATAAAAAAAATACAAGTAGGGACAAGCATATGGGCTATTCTCTATTTCTCAAATTTTTTTGGTTTTGATAGGAATACCTGTGTATTTAATCGTGGAATTGGAATGGTTCGATTTTTTCATAGATATCCGCAATAAATCAAACGAAATTATTTAACGAAAAAAAAACTATAGATTTTAATTTTGAGAATGACTATTTAATATTAATTGAATACAAAAGAATTTCAACTTTTTTTATTCATAAAAATTTATAATATTTTTACTGTTTAATTATATGATCTTATATATATTGGGTTTTAATCATAGTTTTATTATTTAATTTTATTAAAGAATATTTTGCACTTTTGTTAGATTTTATATAAACATTTACTAAATCATCATTATATTAGTGTTTATATTCTATCGTTTTTTAGATCATAAATTTTTATTATATATAATAAAAATTAAATTAAAACTTTTATTTTTTTTTAAACAATATATATTATAAAATTTACATATAAAATTTATAAAATAAAACTATAAAATGGTATCACGTCAATTCGGCGCGGAAAATTCGGCGCACGACAATTCGGCGCAGAAAACTCGGCGCGGCGTCAATTCGGCGCATCGTCAATTCAGCGCAGCGACAACTCGGCGCAACGTCAATTCAGCGCGGCGACAACTCGGCGTAACGTCAATTCGGCGCATCGTCAATTCGGCGCATCGTCAATTCAGCGCGGCGACAATTCGGCGCAACGTCAATTCGGCGCCGCGTATCTAATACAGTTGCAATTTATTATAAATTTATTAGTATAAAAAAAAGGATGATTAAATAGAAATGATTTTGAATGTTAGTCATATTAATTATTTCTTCGTATTTTTTTTTACAAAAATCTCAATTTTATTTACTAAATGTGTAATATCAATAAAAAAAATTAACAACCAATATTTATATCGATTTCCTTGCTGGACCAATTTACCACATTATAAGGTAGGGGAGACTGGGGTTAGTCGGACCGATTTTTACAAAATTTAGCTCCTGATTTTTTTAGATAATATAAAAAATAATATATGATTAGATACCTCCTAAAACTATACTCTATAAAGGTACCTTATAAAAATTTTAAGGATATAATCATTTTTTTTAAATTTTACTTTTTGAAAAAGTAAAAATAATATCCAAAAAGCCCCAATAGCTGGGTGAGGCAAATTCAAGGGGCTTCCTAATCATTGGTTTTTTTAGCCATAATAAATTGAAATGCATTTTTATTTATTAATAATGATACGTATAGAATAATTTTATTGTTTTATTGTTAAAAATATCATAATACTTATAAATTGAATTATATATAAAAATTGAAACTTAATTTAGGTTAATTTAATAAACATTTTGGACATAAAGGAGATATTATGATTTCTTAGCATAAATCCTAAATACCAATCATAAACAGCCATGAAATTGCCTTTGTGCGATAATTCGTTTTTGATTATTTTATAATAGAAAAAATTAGTTAAACATAATATATATTTAAAATGATTAATAGAATTATTTTAAGGATTTTTAATAAATCTAAAAAATGAATCAGTTAATTTGAATTTTATTGGATCAACATTAGTGTTGTTAAACGTCCGATTTGGGTCGATTAATATTTTAGCCATAATAACATGTAAGATTAGAGATAGAAGTCCAAACTTTTCTTACATTTAGCGCAAAATCTCGCTTACATAATATTGGCTACTAATCAAAAAAGGGGAGACTGGGGTTAGATACCGGGGCTTGGCAAACCACTTAATCTCATCTAAAAATTAAATACACCAGAAGGTTAAAGTTTTATCATAATATAGTTTTTATTAGTTTACGTCTATAGACAAAAAATCTTTTGAAATAATTATTAAAAATTTTATTTAAGAAATAAAATATTGATGAAGTTTTTATAATTTGGGAAAGTTATATGAGTATTTATTATATCCAGAAATTTAGAGTTAGCAGGGCTTGCTAAACCATACACGTCTATTGTGGCAGTTAATAATGAAAAAAATACAAAATGTTTATTAAATTAACCAAAATTAAGTTTCAATTTTTATATATAACTTGCCTTAATTTACCCGCTATTGGGGCTTGTTGGACAAAATTGTTCTTTTACAAAAAGTAATATTCAAAAAAATGATTATATTCTTAAAATTTTTTATAAGGAACCTTTATAGAGTATAGTTTTAGGTATCTAATCATATATTTTTTTTATATTATCTAAAAAACCAGGAGCTATAGCCAATTTTATAAAAATCGGTCCGACTAAACCCAGTCTCCCCTACCTTATAAAGTGGT